AGCAAAGGAGCACTGCAGCAGCCCTGCAGCCAGAGGAACACCCTCACGCACGTGGCGGGCGGTAACTGCAGCAGCAGCAGCTCTGGCTGCAGCAGAAGCAGCAAGGACTCCAACCAGGAGGGTTCTCCACGCTGCAGGGGGAGCTGCAGGGGGAGCTGCTGCTGCTGCTGCTGCAGCAGCAGGCACGCCACGCAGTGAATCGAGCACCGGTCTGAACAAGGGAGCAGCAGCAGCAACACCAGCAGCAGCAACACCAGCAGAAGCAACACCAGCAGCAACAACACCAGCAGCAGCAGCAACAGCAGCAGGATCTGAAGGGAAAGATGATATAAAGGAGACACTAGAGCTGCTGCTCGCTGCTGCTGCGGAAATTGATGAAAGCGCAGCAACGTTGTTCAGCCTCTAGTACGGCTTTGGGTTAAAGGTTTAAAGATTAGAGCTTAGGGTTTAGGGTTTAGGGTTTATGGTTTAGGGTTTGGGGCCTAGGACTTAGTGTTTAGGGTTTAGCGTTTAGGGTTTACAGCAGGGCTGCATCAGAGCGAGGCTGGGGCGCCAGGTTATCTGTGGTGTTTCTGCTGCAGCAACACTAACTACTACTTTGAAGATAAGCAAGCAGCAGCAGCAGCAGCAACAGCAGCAGCAGCAGCACCGGCACCAGCAGGAGCAGGAGCAGCTGGAGCAGCGGCAGCAGCAGCAGCAGCAGCAGCAGCAGAAGACACTGAATTGATGTCCGATACATCCTGCCAGGCGCTTGGAGAATGGCCTGCTCCTGCAGCTGCTGCTGCCGCTGCTGCTGCAGCAGCTGCAGCACCAGTGCTGCAGCGACGTGCCACAAAAGCTCTCTATACTTTTCTGGGAGGCTGGTGAGATGCTGCAGCAGGCGGGTCTGTTGCTGCTGCTGCTGCTGCTGCTGCTGAGCAGCTGAGCTGCTGCTGATGTTGATGCTGCCGATGTTGCTGATGCTGATGCCGCCAATGCTGTTGCTGCTGCTGCTGGTGCAGCTTGACGTGCTTCTGCTTCTGCTGCTGCTGCTGTGGCTGCTATTTCTGCACTTGTGGCTGTTGTCGCTGCTGTGTGCATGCTGCTGCTGCTGCTGCTGCTGCTGTCCCACACATGGGCACTGTGCACAGCGTAGGGCTCCTGCCGCAACTGCTATTGAAATATTTTCGCTGCTTCTATGGGCTCTGCTGCAGCAGTTACTGGCATTGCTGCTGCTGCTGCTGCTGCTGCTGCTGTGCCTGCAGTCCTGCTCTCTCCCCTGCTGCTGCAACGCACATAGTAACTTCGGGGGCCCCCGTGTCTGGCCCTGCTGTTGGGGTGACCCCGGGGGCCCCCAAGAAGGGGCCCCTCGGTGGCCCCAACAGCAGCAAGCAGCAGCAGCAGAGCACAGCCGAGACTGCTGCTGCACCTGTTCTCTCTTGGGAAGCTGTGGAAGAGAAGGTCCACGCAGTTCAAGCAGCAGCAGCAACAGCTGCTGCTGCTGTTACTGCAGCTGCTGCTGCATTCACCACGCATACTAGCAGCTCCGCTGCTGCAGTCTCAGCTGCAGCAGCTGCCGCTCCTGCTGCTGCGCTCGAAACTCTTCCTTAGCTAAAGTGCTTCCTCGTGCCTACTTGCTGTTGCACTCGCAATCCACAAACTGCTGCAGCAGCAGCAACATCTGCAGCTACCGACTGTAGCAGCAGCAGCAGCAGCAACGGCTGCGACTAGTGACTGCCGCAGCAGCGGCGGCAACAGCTGTAGCTATTAACTGCAGCAGCAGCAACAGCTGCAACAAATAACTTCTCCAGCTGCTGCAGTGGCAAATGTCTCAATGCTAAAAGCTGTGTCGAAATATTTCAAAATAGCAGCAGCAAAAGTTTCCTCCGCAGTTCCTGGGGGGCCCCCAGCTGCCCTGGGGTTTTGGGGGGCCCCCACAGGGCCTCTTTTGTTAGGGGACCCCCGAGGCCCCTAGGGGCGCCTAGTAGCCCGACAGTCTCACGGAGAGTGTCCTGTGGCAGCAGCAGCGGCAGCACCAGCAGCAGCAGCAGCAGCAGCAGCAGCTGCTGCTGCTGCTGCTGCTAACAGGCCATAGGCTGGCCCCGCAGCGAAAGCACCTCAAGAGCGTCTTAGGCCCCACAGCGCAGCACACCGCAGCAGCAGGTGCAGCCGCAGCCGCTGCAGCCCGTGCAGGAGCAGCAGCTGCTGCTGCAGCGCTTGCTGCAGCTTGAGCGCTGCTGCGCTTCTGGAGCTGCGAACTGCTGCAGCAGCAACAGTGTGAGCCGGGGGGCCAGGGTGTACGTACAGCGTCAGTGGGGGGCAATGAACTCGGCTACTGCTGCTCTTGCTTCCCGCACAGTTTCTGCTGCTGCTGCTCCTGCTTCCCGCACAGTTTCTGCTGCTGCTGCTGAGGCCTGCGCCCCGCTCTCCTTCGCAGACTCCCACGCGAGGCCCACATACTCCCCGGCCTCAGCACTTAGCTGCCGCACCCACTCCACAGTTTCTTGCGCCCGCAGCCGCAGCACTTCTGCTGCATCTGCTGCTGTTTCTTTCGTGGCTCCTTTCATTATTTCCGTGCCCATCTTCATGTCCGACACAGCTTCTTCCAGCAGCGAGGGCCCCGGGGCCTCCTCTGCGGGGCCCCCGCGGGCCCCCGGGGGGACCCTCGGCGCTTCGGGGGGCCCCCCGGGGCTCCGGGGCGACTCGGGGGCCCCCGGGGAGCCCCCCGCGGTGCCACCCGCACCGTCACAAGGCTCGCCCGGGGGGCCCCCAGCTTCCTCCTGAGGGGGCCCCTCCTCAGGGGCCTCCTCTTCGGGGGCTCTTTTGGGGGCGTCCTTGGGGGCCCCCTTGGAGGGTTTAGGGGCCTCTTCAGGCTCATCTTTGAGAGCTTTAGGGGCCTCTTTGGGGGCCTCCTTGGGAACCTCCCCAGGGGCCTCTTTCGGGGCCTCTTTGGGGGCATTTTCGTGGGCCTCCTTGGGGGCTTCAGCGGCCTCTTTGTGGAACTCCTTGGGGGCCTCTTTGTGGGCCTCCTTGGGGGCCTCCTTGGGGCCTTTGTGGGCCTCTTTATGGGCCTCCTTGTGAGCCTCCTTGGGGGCGTCTTTAGGGGCCCCTTTGGGGGCCTCTTTGAGGGCCTCCTTGTGGGCCTCCTTGGGGGCCCCTTTAGGGGCCCCGTGCCCCTGAGGCTGGCCTGGCTTCGTCATTGGAGCGGAGCCTGCACACAGCGCGGCCCAAAATGGAGGCCCCTGCGGGGTGTCTGTACACCGCAGGGTGTGGGTTTGCTGCAGCAGCAGAAAGCCTGCGAAAGCAGGAGTTGCCTGCCTGAAGTGTACAGACAGCCCAGGTGGCTTCCCACGCTTCAGGGCCCTTACCTGCTCAAACAAGTCACTTTATATCTTTTTAAAACTTCAGGGAAACCTAAAGAGGCAAATGAAGGGGTCGGAGGGTCAAGTCTCGGGTGTATCGACGGCAGCTGACGGCCCGCCCGCCTCACTGAGCCTCCGCGAGCTGCGGGTGGGAAGCACCAGCAAAAAAGAAAACTAATTTGACTTCATTTATGTTTTAAATTGTCAAAAATGAAGAAATAGAATAATATAAGTGCAAGAAGGAGAGCAGAAGACGCAGTTGCATCCCCCAGGCCTCCCGCAGGTCTTCACAACATCCAGTCAACACACAGTCTTCGTCCACTCTGGGGCACTAGGGCTGTTTAAAATTACTTCTTCAGCTCTAAAATATATTTATTTTTCATTTATTTGGAAAATAACAGAATGTTTCCTTGAATTTAGGCGACTGGCATTGGTGTGGACCAATGGTCCACTGGTTACGCTTCTGGCAGCAACTGCCCAGGCAACTCTCTTGCGCCTTTAAGCTCCCTCGCCCACAATTAAAGCTTTTAAAGAGTATTTAATGGAAAATAGACGGCTTAGAGGGTATTTAAATATTTAAAAGGGTTTGTAATGCCACTCGGGTTTATTACATCTGCTGCTCACGCTTACGACTCTGAGGTGTCTGTACACCTCACGCTGTGCACACATTTTTCAAATTTCCGAAAAGAGCCAAATTCGCCTGATTTGCTCCAGCAGCTCAAATTTAGAGCCTTACGCATTAATATTTATTTAAATTAATGCAATAAAGAACAGAAAAAACGTGTTTATTTGAATTTAAATGCAATTCCACTCCGCCTGTGCAAGAGAGCCTCTTCTCTGCATAATACCACGAAGCACAGCAGCAGCTCCTGCATTCTTTTCATTGCTTCAAGTCGCTAAGCCCTAAGCCCCAAACCCTGAAACCCTAAACCCTAAATCACGCAACCCTTAAACCCCAAACCCTATACCCTGAAACCCTAAACCCTATACCCTGAAACCCAAAACCCTATACCCTGAAACCCAAAACCCCAAACCCTAAACTCTAAAAGGCTACAAAGACTCAGAAAACCAAACCCTAGACCCTAAACCCTAAACTCTAGAACCATAAACCCTAAACCCTAAACCATCAAACCCTAAATGCACTGAAGAATCTCCCCTGGGGACACTTTATGGCGTAGCGCTCTAGTGCTCCTTAATGCAGCAGCAGCAGCAGCAGCAACACAGCAGCAGCTGCAGCAGCAGCTGCAGTAGCAACAACAGCAGCTAAAGTCGCAACAACTGCAATAGCAGCAACTCAATAAAATGTCATTTCGCCCTTTATTAAGGGCGAAATGACATATTTATGTTTATTTCAACCAAACCTTTTGAAATATTTAATGAGACATCCTAATTTAATTTAATAATGATGGCAATAATAATAGTGATAATAATAATAATAATGACTGAATTAAATTGCATTTTCGAACGATTCCCTCAAACCCCTCAGCTAGCTGCAGCTAGCTGAGGGGTTATATATTGTATTCTAAAACTGTTTAGTTTTAAAAATGAAATATATTTTAATAACACTTTTGAAATATATTTACTAAAGAAATTATTTGAAGCCACAAATCAAAAATTGTTTTCGAAAAATAAAAGCAGCAAAAGGCGCAGCAGCAGTCGCTGAGGAGCGGCTGGCAGCTGTACGTACACCCCAGCTGTGCGTGCGCGAAATCTGCGCAACAGCAACAGCAACAGCAGCAGCAGCAGCAACTGCTGCTGCTGCTGCTGCTGCTTCACTGGGACTGGGCCGCCGGATTGGGCCACCCGTCTCACAGCACTGCAGGGCACGAAAGCGCCAGATCTCTCACCAGCTAGCTAGCTAGCTAGCTAGCCAGCTGCAGCTAGCTAGCCAGCTAGCTGGCCACCAACTGGCTAGCTAGCTGGCTAGCTAGCTGCAGCTAGCTGGCTGGCTAGCTGCCGGTGGAGGGATCACAAAGAACGCTGTGTTGCGCGAGGGCAAAGGTCCGTGGCTAGCTAGCTAGCTAGCTAGCCATAGCTAGCTAGCCAGCGAGCTAGCCATAGCTAGCTAGCCAGCTAGCTAGCTAAGGTCACACTGAAGTCGCTGCGTTGCCTGAAAGGCGAAGAAGGTCTGCGGGGCGGTGTGCGCTCGTGGCTCCAAGCTGCCGAGGGTTTAGGGTTTAGGGTTTAGGGCTTAGGGTTTGGGGCTGTCTAGGGGGAAATGAGTTCTGCGGTGTCGCTCCTGAGCTTGGAAACCCCCTCAGCAACAGAGTCCTTAGCAGCAACAGCTTTGTCTTTTGCTGCTGCTGCTGTGCTGCTGACAGCATCAGCAACAGTGTCTTTCATGCTGCAGGCCTTGTCGCTGATGGTCTGACCAATGGACTTCCCCTGGTCTTTGGCCCCCTCGCTTTTGTCTGCTGCAGCATCAGCAGCAGACTCGTAGGCCTCGTGGCTGCGCTGCTGCAGTCCTGCTGCTTTGTCTTTTGCTGCTTCAGCAGCAGCACCAGTTTTCTCTTTTGCTGCTGCTCCCAACTCCCCAGCTTTTTCCTTCATGTCTGCGCCTGCGCGGCAGCAAGCCTCTTTGCTGTGCTGCGCTGCAGCAACAGCAGAGTCGCGGGCCGAGGGGTCGGACATCGTCTGCTGCAGGGACAGCAGCAGCAGCAGCAGCAGCAGCAGAGGTGCAGCGCAGCAAAATCGAAGCATTACGGAAGCAGAAAAGGCACGGCAGCAACTGCTGAAAGAATTTAAACTATTTTGAATGAAAGTTTGAAATAGAAGTACTTTAAAGTTTGAAATAAAGTACTTTTTGCAAGAAGAGCTGCAGCGTGTGTGCGAACGGTGTCTGCAACTGACCAGTGGTCAAGGGCTGTTGGCAAAGCTTGACCAGTGGTCAAGAGAAGACAAGTCAAGGGTGAAGAAAGCAGCAGCAAATTCAAGTTATCTGCAAGTGTGCACTTCGAAGCTTCGAGGAAAACAAATTGTGAATTTGTTACCACGAATTTCAAAATCCGAAACCAGAAAAGAAGCAGCAGGGGAGGCGGAGAGAAGAAGCACAGCAGCTGCTGCTGCTGCTGCTGCTGCTGCTGGGCTGGCGTGGGAGCGCAGCGAGCTGTGTGTGCGCCTCCCGCGCTTGTCAGTGCCGCTCTTTTGCTTTAAATTTCTTTTTATTTTCTGCTTTTTGCCTTTTTTTAATTAATTTTGAGTTATTTTTGCCATTTCAAACGAAATTAAAGCGAAAATGAATGCTGTGCGGGCGCCGCCTTGCACGGCGGGTCACCTGTGGGCCGGTGTCTGAGACTGCAAACCAATGGTCAATGCTCCGTGCGGTGTGGCTACACCTCAATTAGAATTCATTTTCCTTCCTTTTCTTCAAAAATATCCAACATTTTAATAAAAGTTGGCTTTTAGAACGGAACAGAGCCTCGGCAGGCCGCCCCTCAGGGTCACCTCCCTCTGCGCGGACTTGCTGCAGCACCGTGGGGCCTCTAGTCTGCACAGATTGCTGCCACTCAATTAATTTTAAGTTCTCAATTATATTTTCTAATTGTCATCTATTTGAGCCCTTGGACCCTAAAAAGAAGCAAAAGAAGTGCAGCAGCACCACAGGCCCCCAAGCGCTGCAGCTGAAAGACCCCATGAGCACCGAAGGGCCCCTTGGGGGCCCCCAGGGGCCCCCTGAGGCCCCCTGGGGGCCCTTCTAAAGTCCGCTGAGGGCCCTTTGGGGGCCTCCAGGGGCCCCCGGGGGCCTCCAAAGTTGCTTTTGGGGGCCCTGCTTGGGTTTTTCTGATAAGGCCCATAGAGGCAAAGGCTAATTATGGGTTCGAGGGTCTTTTTAATCTTAAAGGCAGCTGCAGGGCAGCAGCAGCAGGTCCTGCTAGCAGCAGCGCTGCTGCTGCACAAATGCTAAGAAATGCATGCATGCAGCATTCCCCGAGGAAGTTAATTTGGGGAAAAATAATAATTCAAATACTTGGAGAAACGGGAGCAGCAGCTGGGGGTCTTTCCGCCGTTTATATATATCTGTGCATATTTAAAAGCAAGATATATAAACGTAAAATGGATTTATGATAGAATAAAATTGATTCATTTTATTCTTTTGCTGCTTCCCCCGGTGGCTGCCCGCTGCTGCTGCACACAGAGTGCTGCTGCTGCTGCTGCTTCTCTGCAGCAGCAGCAACAGCAACATCTCCGGGAGGAAGCAAATTGAATTATTTCAAATTATTGTCTTCTGTGCTGCAGCTGCCATAAGTAACAAGGGCTGAAATGCCATTCTAGCGTTTGCCGACGTATTGAATTTTCGCAAAAAAGCCTCAAAATATTTAAAATTTTAGAAAGATTTTAAAACTAAAACAAATTAGAGACCCTAAACCCCAATCGTCAAACCCTAAACACCCTTTTCTGGCCTAGAGCTAGGGTTTGGAGTAAAAAATTAGGGCTTAGGGTTTTGGTTGATCCTGCTTTTCCCAGGCAATATCGGGTCACCTGGCTGCCACTAGCTGCCCCCCGGCATCTGCGCACTAGAAATAAAATAAAAATAAATAAAATTGTTTTAAAACGAATTTATTTTATTTAATTCGTTGCATTTTTTTGCGAAGAGAGGATTGAGGGGCTGCAGGCGTTGCACACACTGCTGCACTGCCTTGCTGCGCTAGGCTATGGCTGCGGAGCTTCCAAGTATGAATTAGTTGTTTAAAGACATTTAATGAATGCAAAATAAATTTTAATTTTGATTTTGAATTTAATTTTAAGATAAATAATTACCATTATTAAGTGAAGCACTCCCGAGTGTGGCGAAGGGCGCAAGCATCGGCCGCGGTGCACCTGCGCCTCTCTGTCGGGCAAACAGCAAGACGGACTTGGTTTTGGATTCTTTTTAATTTTAGATAATAAAATATAATTTTAGAATAAAATTTAACCTAATTAATGGATTAAAGTGGCTTCAGCTTCCCCCGGACCTGTTCGTGGGGGCTGCCGGGCTGAGCGACCAGTGGACAGCATCGGAGTGGCCGGCGCGCCATTTGGCCGTGTTGAAGGGAAACTTGGGAAAATTGGTTTTAATTTTCTGCAATTTTGCATGCACAGCAATATTTTGCCCGGTTTTGGGGGGGAAGCTGCTTGGAAATCCCCGAAACCTGGGTGCTGCCGCTGCAGCAGCAGCAGGAGCAGCAGCAGGAGCGGCGATTCAGCGGCTCTGGAGGCCGCTTCTGCGGCCGCAGCCCCCCTGCTCCCCCCCTTTGCAGTTCCCTCCCACCGCCCCTCGCCAAGAGCCGCGCAGCGGCCCCCCCGGCGCCCGATCTCGCGGCTGCTTCCTCGCAGAGCCCCCCAGCAGCAGCAGCAGCAGCAGCAGGAGGAATGGAGGCGAGCTGCTGCGGCGTGAGCGAGCGGTCCGTGGGCTGCTGCTCGCTGCTGCTGTGCGTGTGCTGCCGGCGCTGCGAAGAAGTGCGCTTCAACTGGTCGCGGCGGCGGAACTCGTGGCGGCTGTCGTTCTTTTACCGCGTGATGACGTGCGTGGCGCTGCTGGGGGCGCTGCTGACGCTGCTGCTGCAGCTGCTGATCCGCAGCCTCAGCTTCTTCCGCAACTACCGCTGCGGGCAGCGCGCCGTGGGGCTCCTCAGCGTCAACTTCACCCTCACCATTTGCCTCACTGCTGCTGCGGGCCTCTTCGCAGTTCTCATGGCGCGCATTCTGGCGATGTTTGGCCGCTTTTCGGTGGCCGAGTTCGCGGGCCTGGGCCCCTGGATGCGTCGCCTGGGGTTTCTTTCCAAGTGGGGCCCCTGGGCCGTGGCCTTCATAGCGGACTGTTTGCTGCTGCTCTCTCTCGTCAACAGCATTTGGATCTTTGCTGCGCCCCACGACTGGTGCAGCAGGAGGTGGAACCAGGCCGCGGTCGTCGCCGTCGACAACTGCAGAATCTGGTACGGAGGCAACGCCGCCTGCCTCTCCACAGGTGCGCGAGGCTAGGGTTTAGGGTTTAGGGTTTAGGGTTTGGGGCGCGGTTTACCGCCTGGGGCCTCCGTGGCAGGCTTTACGGCTTCGGGCGTGTTTCCAAGGGTTTACGGCTTGGGGCGTGTTTCCAAGGGTTTGGGGTTCGGGGGATGTTTGTAAGGGATTCGGGGATATTTGTAAGGGTTTAGGGTTTGTGTTGCATTTACAAGGGTTTGAGTTGTATTTATTAGGGTTTATGTTGCATTTATAAGGGTTTGTGTTGCATTCACAAGGGTTTGTGTTGCATTTACAAGGGTTTGTGTTGCATTTACAAGGGTTTGAGTTGACGCGTAAGGGTTTGGTTTGACTTGTAAAAGTTTGGTTTGACTTGTAAGGGTTTGGTTTGACTCGGAGGGTTTAGGGTTTAGGGTTTGTGCAGAGGAGAACAACCAGAACAAGGAGTCTGGGCTGGTGACTTCGTGCAACGACGGAGTGGAGTTGATGTCTTTGAAGTTTTTGTCTTTCACTCCCAAGGAGGGCAGCGGGGGCTGTTCGTTCCAAGACATTCTGGTGTGCAGGGCGTACGCGAACTACCGCAACGGCGCACCACTGGACTGGTCCAGTGGTCCACTGGTCCAGTGCAGCGGGGACTCCGTGGAGGGCCCCGACCAGTTCCACGACAGCCTTACTGAAAAGAGTGACCTCTACCGCTACCTCATGATTTACGTTCAGGGTTGGACTGTCACTCTCATCACTGTCGTTTGCTTCTTTCTCTACACCAAAGTCAGCTCCAACTTCGACTCTCTCTTCTTCCAACCCAAAACCAAACACGCCAACATCCTCTTCAGGATCGGAGCCCCGCAAACCCCATTCGCCGGGTAATCCCAGGCCCGGGGGGACCCCCAGGGGGCCCCAGGGGGCCCCGGGGGGCCCCAGGGGGCCCCGGGGGGCCCCAGGGGGCCCCGGGGGGCCCCGGGGGGCCCCGGGGGGTCCAGGGGGCATCAGGGGCGAGGGGGCCC